ACCCCTGAGCATCGCCGGGTGTGAACCAAAAAAAAAAAAAAACGCCCCAGAAAGCCCAGGGTGTGGCCATCACTGGCCTCCGGGTGCTCCCCCCAGCCACCCTCCTGCTGCAGCTCTGGACGGACTCAGAGACTCAGCATAGCAGCAACCCCGACCTCGCACCCGTGTCCAAATGAATGAAGATGGGAGGGGAGTGCCGAGGGCAGGGGGAGGGAAGAGGAGAGGAGGGTCCTGCAGCACAGCCCCCAGTGGGTGGCAGGGCCGCCAGCATCTGTCCCACCTTCCCTCGGTCGGCATCAAGGACGCCGTTCTGGGCAGGCCGGAGGCACAGCCACTGCCCTCCCAGCTGTTCCCTTTCTAGCATTTTCTCCTAATAGCGCCATAAAAGCCAAACCAACACCTGCAACACCGCGTGAGAGGAGGCAGTGAGATCATAAAAATAATGGGACGCGCAGAACTTCCCTGACCGCCCAGGAGTCAAAACGAGCCCAGGAGCATCTAACGCAAGGCCCAGACCCCAGCACGGGCTCCTTCGTACCGGGTCCCGAGCCGACCCGGAGCCTGTCAACACACTTAGAGCCGGCGACCAAGTCGCGATTAGGAAATCCGCAGAGGGCTCACACCGGCTCGGATCAACAAAGTTGAGTTGGACAAAGTTCTCGTATCAACCAGAGAGAAAAGATGGCCCATTCCCCAAACCTCCCCCTGCACCATCCACCTCTTCCCCCAACCCCACACACACATGCACAGGACGGAAGAGAATGGAGATAAGGAAACCCAACAGCCCCGAAACAGCCCGAGAGACGCAGACGACAGGAGAAGCAAGACAGCCCGTCCCGCCGACCGGACCGGCACTGCGTCAAAGGGGGCTGGGGCCCCGGGCGGGGGTGGGGGAGCCCCGGGCACCTGACGCCTGGCTCAGAGGCTGTCCCGTCTCTCGACCCCACACTCTGACCGCTGCACCCCACTCTCCAGGCCGAGCTCGCCTGGGTTGCATTACGTGCTGTGTGACGGTGCCAACTTGACGCTCATGAGGGTGCCCGGGGCGGGCGGCAGAGTTAAACCCACGACCCCACAGAGGGCGCCTTCCGTCGGCAGCATGGAGAGGGGTGCGGGGTGCGGGGGCTGCCTCCAGACCGAGATGCTGCCCACCCCCAGTTTGGGCAGAAGCAGCACTGGGCAGCGTCTGTAGATTATGCCACCGTGAGAGAAAATAGTGGAAGGAGACAGGGAATGTTCTGGAAGGAGCTACAGGAAAAGTGGTGACCGGCGGGTCCGTGCAGGCAGACCAGCGAGACACTTCCTGTGACAGCCATCCGCTTCTGAAACAAGGGGGGGGGGGCAGCAGGACATTCCCGGGGCGCGGCCTGGCCCGACCACACCAATGAGACGCCCCCACTGTGGCTCCTTCTGACACAGCCACGGCCGCCGCCGACCACGATTCCTCCCGACCCTCATCACGCCACCCGCAGTCACTCCGAATGTCTCCCGGCCTCGAACCCAGATGAAAGAGCACCCCTGATCCTTCCAGAGTCCTTAAACGGCTGGGGTGCCCGCAGAGAAGGGGGGCCAGGAACGGGCAGGAAGGTGGGGTGGGGATGAGGAAAGAGACCCCCAGCGAGGCCCACGGGCGGAGACAGAAGGGCGCAAGGGACTGACGCGTGACCCAGCGCTCAGGCCAAGTGCTGTGGGAACAGGTGGGCCTGGGGGGCGGGGGTAGGGCTGGGCTCTGTGGAGACGGGCGACGCTCTCGTCACTCTAGGAGTCCCGACCCAGCAGCCCCGGCCCCCAGCGCTGCCTTCTCCAAGCTCTCCAGGAATCTGTCGGCGTCTGTCCCTTCCCGGCGGGCGGTGACAGCATCTTTCATCAGGGTCGCGGGAGAGGCCCGCCAGGAGGAAGCGGCGAGGCGTTGGGCCGGCTCCCGCCCGCGTGTCCCTGATCTCAGCGCCCAGATAAGGCTCCGGGCGGGGCCCACCCGAGCGGGCAGCAACAGCCGGGACATGTGTCCAGAAGTCGGGGAACCGCAGCAGAGCAGGGACGGCCTGGCGGCCGGGCAGCTGACCCAAGGGGGACGGTCCCTCCGCAGCTCAGCCGTGTCGGGGCACCAGTACCCCAACCCCCATTCGGAGAGCTGGGCAGGGGAGCAGAGCAGCCCCAAAGCGCAAGGGGATGGGAGTCTCGAGGGGATGAGGGTCTCGGGGAGGTGGGCGCAGGCCACGCCGAGAGCACGGTTCACAGAGACGGCACCCCCGTCTCTCTGCTGCCAGGCAGGCGGGGGACACGGGACCAGCGGAGGCTTCGGAGCCCCGAAACCAACCACCTGGTGCCTCCGCTCTCTCGCTCCGGGGAAGGTGGAGAAGCAGGCGTTGGACAGTGGCACTGGTGGCCGGGCACGGGTCCCGGGGCCTGGCCGGGGTCGTCAGCCCCAGATTCCTTCCGGGTCAGTTCGTCTGGTTGCCACGGACTGAACCTGGGGCTGGACCCAGTCTGTGCTCGACCACTGAGCCCCACCCGTGGCCCCCAGGGCCGAGCAAACGGGCCACGCTGACACCCCAGGACGACGCGCAGACTCCGTGCTGGGACGTAGCTAACAGGGCGCAGACACGCGTGCATGACGCCACACCACATTTCGGGTGTCAGGTGGCACAGAATATACTCACGGCAAACTACGTCAAGCAAACAAAGCGAGGCCGGGAGACGGTACAGCACGTAGGGCGCTTGCCTTGCACGGCAGACAAGTGTTCGACCCAAGTACACCAAGTTCAGCCCGGAGGGACTTATGTTCCCCCAAGGACGGCCAGGGGCGGTCCCCTGAGCACTGCCAGGTGTGGTCCGAAAGGCAAAACAAAAATAACACAAAACAATAATATGAAATACAAAGTAACACTTCGATGAGTGTAACAGAAGAGTGTCCGTAATAAGCTGCCTACTAGGCAGGAGATTTTGCTCGCTGGAGGGGCGAGTGCAGAAGGGCCGAACTGGGGCCACAGAGTGCACGTGCCTCCATGCACACACAGCTGCACACGCTCACGGCTGTACACGCACACGGCTCACGGGCACGTGTTCCCGTGCACCCACCCCGATCAAGACGGCGTCTGCGGCCCCTGCACAGGGGCAGAGCGCGGTGTGTGGGGGAGACAGAAACAGTTGGGAACTTTCTGCACTGACAGAAGGTGGCGGCTTCCGCCCTTCCCAGATGACACGCGGGCGCAGGGCCCAGGGTCGGCCCGGGAGCCACAGGCCCCGCGAGCAGCAGCGGCCGAGCCGGGCTGTGCTCTGCGGCCGGGCTCCGGCGAGAAGGCGGGGAAGGACAGGCCTTTATTTAGCCCTTGTTTGCGTGTGAAAATCGATACGCCTTTTCCAGCCTGTGTCTTGCAAGAAAATGTGTTTTGGGCCACTGTCCCGAAGGCGTCGCCTCCCAGCCGGGCTTTGTGGGCTCTGCAGGACGGGGGAGCGGGGGGGGGGGTCCCCAGGGCTGCGGCCACCGCCCCTGCCCCTCGCCCTTGCTGGGTCCCGGACCGCCCCGATGCCCAGCACGCCACACAGCCGTTCTCGAGCCCCGCCGGAGTGCTGGAGTGCTCCAGGCCTCTCGGCTCTCCCTGGCCATGGGCATCATCCGTGCCCGGCTGGGGGAGCGGTACTGTCCCCGGACACCCCCTCCCGGGGCCCAGGGGAACCTGGGCCCCCGGCCCACCTCCCTGCCCACACCTCTGCTTCGCCGCCCGCCTCCTCTACTTTCTAAAGGGTCCCGGAGAAGTTGGCGATGTTGCCAAATGTGCCTTTCCCAGACACACAAAGACTATGAAAATAGCCCAACGGGCCCTTGCCGGTGGCTGCTCCTCGTCTTCCCATCTGCTCAACAGAAACCACCTTGTCTCCTGTCTCTCTGGGAAGGAGCCTCAGGACAGCCTTCGGCGGGGATGGCACGGGGCGGGGTGGGAGAGGACGCACCGAATACCCCCCCCACGCACACTCGCTGTTCCAGACAGCTCCCGAGGGACCCCTGGTTTCCTGCCAGGTCGGCGTGAGGTTTAAACAATGGTTCTGATGATGTAAGAGTTTCATCGTGCAGACCGGTGAGCTACACTGTTTACTAACACATGGGGGGGCATGCCCGCTGATGAGGAGGACAGACAGTCACATTGCAGGCGCGTAAACAAAGCCTGGAAAACTGGCCTGGGAGGGGGAGGGGAGGAAGGGCTATATTTACTTTGAAATGCAAATTAGTCATCCGAAGGGGCCCAGAGCCTGGGACTGCATTGGATAACAGCCCTGATCTCACATGCTCCCGGGAAGCCCTGGAAATGACACAGATGTTGTCGTGGGCGACTCCCTGACAATGCCGCTCTCCCTGTCCGTCCACACACACCTCACCAAAGTCTCCTGCTCCAGGTACCCCCCCCCCACTGCTTGGGGGCTCCCCTGAGCCTGTCAGAGCTGAGGGGGTGCCAAGGCCTCAAACCAAAGCCGCGTCTTGGTCCCCTCACACCAGAGGGGCTCCGGAGAGCCCTTCCTAGACCCCAGGGCTCACCTAGCCCCCCAGGACACACGAGGAGGGGGCCTGGGGCGGCTGCACCCGGCATGTCTGCAAAGGGCCCGGCAGGCGGCGAAGGGAAAGGGAATTTTCCAAAGCTCTCGCTTCCCCGGCTCCAAGTTTGCTTCCTCAGCTGGCTTTCCTATTTCCAAACCAGGCGTGGGATGGCCGAGGGCGGCCAGCGAGGGGACTCCGCGGCAGGCCACGGGGAGGTTTCGCGCACCAGCGGGCAGAGCCGAGGGAGGTCGGACCCTCCCGGGGTACAGGATGGAAGGGGGGGGGATCCCTCACAGCGGGGGGGGGGCTCCTTCCTGGGAGCACTGGGCTGGAGTGGGGCGGCAGCCCACCGGGAGCGAGTCCCGCGCCCTAAAGCCCCCGGCCGCCCCCAAGTCCGCGCATCTCCGCGCCCCCCTCCCCGGACCCCTGCCCGTGCGCGCACCCGGGGCACCCGGGCGCCGGCCCTTACCTTGCTGACCACGTTCTGCACGAGGCCCGTGCGGATGCCGTAGTCCCACGCGTGGCAGTCGCAGTTGGACGCGTTGTCCCCCTGGTCGGGCGGCGAGGGCAGCGGCGGCGTCTCGGGCCCGTCCCAGCCGCCGCGGCTCCGGTTGCCCGCGGGCCCCCAGGCGGCCGCGGCGAAGGGGGTGGTGGCCGGGCCGGTCCAGTTGGCCGCGCCGGCGACCCCCGGGGGCTCGGCGCCCTTGCCGGCGCCGCGGCACCAGAAGTTGGGCTGGTCCAGGAGGAAGGAGTCCGAGAACTGGCTGAGGCCGATGAAGAGCGCCGGCACCCAGGTGAGCAGGACGAGCGTCCGCTGGTAGCCGCCGCCCAGGCCCCCCAGGAAGGGCAGCACCGACCCGTCGTAGTCCAGCAGCAGGAGGCTCGGGGCGGCGGGCGGCGCGCAGCAGCCGGGGGGCGGCGCGGGCTGGATGTCCCCGCCGGGCGCCCCCGCGGCCGCCGCGTCCCCGGGCGGGAGCGCGCCGTTCTCCCCGGCCGCCGGCCTGTGCCCGGGCCCGCCGCCCGCCGCGTCGCGCCGCCGCTCTACGGCCATGGCCCGGGCCCGCGGCGCCCACGCTCGCCGGCCGCGGGGTCAGCGCGCGCCCCGGCCCGCGCCCCGGCCCGCGCCCATGCCCGCGCGCCCGCGCCGGCCGCCGCCGCGCATCGGCCCCGCGCCCGGCCCTCGGCGCCCGCCGCTCCGCAGGACCAGGACGCGGCCGGGCGCGCGCGGTGCGGGTCGGCGTGCGCGGCGCGGCGCTGCGGGCGCGCGGGGCGCGCGGGCGCTCGAGCGGGTCGTGCGCGGGGGGCCCGCGGGGTCCGCCGCCCAGGCGCCGCCCGAAGCCGCGAGTGCTGCCGCCGCCGCCGCCGCCGCCGAGCCGCGGGCGCTCTGGGCTCGGGCTGGGCTCGCGCGCGCGGCCTCCCGCCCGCCCGCCCGCCCGCCGCCGCCCCGCCCGCCGGCCGGCCCGCCCCCTCCCCCCGCCGAGGTGGAGGTACGCGGCACCTGCTGCGCCCGCTCCGGCGCGCCAGCGCCCCCGCCGGCCGGCCGGGACGCGCCACGGAGCCGCCGGGCGCCCGGGACGCCAGGGACGCAGGCCCCGGAGCCGGCCCCGGGGCCACGGAGCCGCCTCCGGGCCCAGCTGCAGAGCCGACAGCCCCGGAGCTGCGGAGCCGCCCCTGCGCCGGCCACGGGGCCACGGAGCCGCCTCCGGGCCCAGCTGCAGAGCTGGCAGCCACGGAGCTGGGGAGCCGCCCCTAAGCCGGCCACGGGGCCACGGAGCTGCCTCTGGGCCCAGCTGCAGAGCTGACAGCCCCGGAGCTGCGGAGCCGCCCCTGCGCCGGCCACAGGGCCACGGAGCCGCCTCCGGGCCCAGCTGCAGAGATGACAGCCCCGGAGCTGGGGAGCCGCCCCTATGCCGGCCACGGGGCCACGGAGCCGCCTCTGGGCCCAGCTGCAGAGCCGACAGCCCCGGAGCTGCGGAGCCGCCCCTAAGCCGGCCACGGGGCCACGGAGCTGTCTCCGGGCCGCCACGCAGCCACAGTGCTGCCTAGGTGCCCTGCTGCAGGGCCGCAGGCCATGGGGCCACGGAGCTGCCTGTAGGCCCAGCTGCAGAGCCGCCAACCACGGAGCCACCCCTGCGCGGGCCACGGAGCTGCCTCTAGGCCCAGCTGCAGAGCTGGCAGCCCCGGAGCTGTGGAGCCGCCCCTATGCCGGCCACGGGGCCACGGAGCTGCCTCTGGGCCGCCACGCAGCCACAGTGCCGCCTAGGTGCCAGGCTGCAGAGCCGCTGGCCACAGGGCTACAGAGCTGCCTCTAGGCCCAGCTGCAGAGCTGCCGGCCCCGGAGCTGCGGAGCCGCCTCTGCGCCGGCCACGGGGCCACGGAGCCGCCTCTGGGCCCAGCTGCAGAGCCGCCAGCCCCGGAGCTGCAGAGCCACCCCTGTGCCCGCCACAGGGCCACAGAGCTACCTCTAGGCCCAGCTGCAGAGCTGCCAGCCACGGAGCTGGGGAGCCGCCCTTAAGCCGGCCACGGGGCCACGGAGCTGCCTCTGGGCCCAGCTGCAGAGCTGACAGCCATGGAGCTGCAGAGCCACCCCTGTGCCCGCCACGGGGCCACGGAGCTACCTCTAGGCCCAGCTGTGGAGCCACCAGCCACACGGCCACAGTGCCGCCTATATGCCATGCTGCAGAGCCGCCAGCCACGGAGCTGCAGAGCCACCCCTGCATCTGCCACAGGACAATGGAGCTGCCTCTAGGCCCAGCTGCAGAGCTGCAAGCCACAGAGCAGCTGAGCCACCTCTGCGCTGGCCACGGAGCTGCCCCTAGGCCGAGCTGTGGAGCCACCAGCCACACAGCCACAGTGCGTCCTCTGTGCCATGCTGCAGAGCTGCCAGCCACAGAGCTGCTGAGCTGCCCCTGCACCAGCCACAGAGCCACGGAACTGCCTATATGCCATGCTGCAGAGCCGCCAGCCGCGGAGCCACTGAGCCAATGATATGCCAAGCCACGGAGGCACAGAAGATACGTGGAGCTGCAGAACCGCCGGCCACAGCGCCCCAGAGCCACTGAGCCACGAAGCCGTGGAGCTATGGGAGAGGGCGGGACGTGGAAAAACAACACGGCAGGCCCATGCGGGGGTGGACGAATTGCAGTCGTAGGTGGGCTGGGGGGAAGAGCTTTGGGAGGCGTGGGGGCGGATCGGAGGGGCACCCCAGGGGTCAGGGAGCATGCTCCTGTGGCCCCGGCAACCGCAGAGGTCATCAGCCTCCCGGAGCAACCAGGTGCGGTGATGGTGGATTTCTGGGTCCGCGAACACATGGGTCAGTTCCCTGTGCCAGGTCCCCCCACCACAGCCATTTGTCCCCCCGCCCCCACGAACGCTGTGTAAAGTGTGATTTCTAGGACAGATGGCTGAGTCGTAGGGGCCCATGAACTGCGGAGCCCCCAAGCCCCCCACCCCCAACCCCCCACCCCAGGCGGGCGGAGGCCGAGCTCACCCGCACGCACCGGCACGCCGCCCTGATCGGGCCAGCGCCTCCTGTACCCGGTCCGTGCGAACCCGCATGTCGGAGGCGTTTCCGGTGCCCAGATGTTCGTTAAGGCAAGTCTCCAGGGAGTGAGAGGCCTGCAGCCCTCGTGGGGGCCGGCGTGGCAGCGGGAAAGCCCGGCCTCACTCCCTGCAGAGCACTTAGCTCACCCGGGTTTTTGTTTTTGCTTTAACCTGCGGTTCTTTCTGAGCTGCGCCTGGAATGGGGAATGGGGAATGGGGGCTGGTTCCCCAGGCTGCCAGGGGGCCTGGCTCTCTGCGGGGCTGAGGAGTGCAGATTAGACCCTACGGGAAGGGCAGGGCCGGAAGGGGCCCAGAGGCCTGCGCGGACACCCGCGTCCAAGAGATGGGGCTCCAGACCCTCACGCCCTGTAAGGCTGCCTAGGCCCTGTCCACACTCATGATTCCGCCAAATCCACACCGTTCCGTTCTTCGCCGACCCCTGCAGATTTGGTTGGGGGACAACGCCCGGGGCGGCTTCTATGCCATTGTCCCCCGGAAGGGCTCGCTCTGTGCTGCACCCTGACTCAGCCACAGCACCCCTCCCTCAGTGTCCACCAGGCCTGCTCCAGGGTCAGTGCTTGCTCTGATGGTCACCGGAGTCTTGGATGAAGCGTCACAGGCTGCCAGACGGGTGGCAGTTGTAGGAACCATGACCTTAAAGAACACACAAGCTGCAGGGGCGGCTTCAGCCGCACAGACCCTTCTGGCCCTCAGGGAACTTTCCAACTCCGTGGACCGAGGAGGCAGCCCACATGCTTCTCAGCCACACAACAGACTGAGCCCCAGCCCCAGGCGCCGCGTCCCCACGGCAGGGACGGCTTACAAGGAGCTGCCCTTCTCTCTGGGAAGGACCTCGGACATCTCTGAGGTGACCGCCAGCGTTCCGCTCCCACGTGTCTTCCTTCGTTGTGGCAGCCTAGTTCGGCCTTGAGATTTTGTCGGCCTCTCCTTTCTCATCCTTCTCAGTGCTGCCATGTCGGTGAAGCCTTCAGGGTCAGGTGAATGAGACCAGTTGTAGTTACTGGTTTTGGCATATCGAATACACAACGGATAGCTTGCCAGGCTCTTCCGTGTGGGCGGAATACTCTCGGTAGCTTGCCAGTCTTTCCTAGAGGGATAGAGGCTTTTGAGGCGACCTCTAATTACCCTTGTAGGTGTTACCATATTTGAACCCTATGAAATATGGTATGAAAATTCCGGAAGATGGGTATTTAGTGTCTTATGATGTGTCGCGTGGCCGCTTCGTTTCGTGGCTGCGCGGGTCTGGAAAGTGTCCTGGAGCGTGGCGGCGGCTGGGTAGTGGAGGTAGTGACCCCAAAAGAAAAAAAATCCATGTGGAAGGGTTGCAACTGGACCTCTACCCAGGCGCGGGAATTGTGTTGCTTGGTCAGAGGTTTCTTTCAACATCTCTGAATCCACATAACCTCCCCCTCCCCGCCCTTCTAGCCCAGAAAATTAAAAGGTGCCTAATGTCTACATTTAGCTTTCAACTCATGAAGACATGGTGAATTCATAGCAGGACTAGAACCAGAGGAGTGAAGAGAAAGAATGCCCCCACGCCCCAGGTATCCAAGGTGAGTGGCCAGTGTGGGCAGCGGTCAGCACCTATGGAACCGCTCCATCCTTCTGGTTTCTCCTTTACCTACCACTGCTCAGCCCTTGGTAGGTACCATGTTCTCAGCTGCGTCCAGGGGCCCCACGCAGTCCTGGGCACGTTTAGAACACTCGATACAGAGCTGCTGAATCAGTGATTTTACCAAGATGTCACCCACTCGCGGCTCTCTCGGCCACGGTCCTCCCGTTCCGTTAGCTTTCACTCCTCCCTCCCCCGCGGCCTGCCTGGCGCCCCAGCTGCACTGCCCACACTGGCCAAGCCCCTGGTTCCCGTGAACCAGGCAATTCCTTTTCTTCGTGCAAGTTCTTGTGGTCAGTGGATCGGCTCCCACGGGGATGTTTTTGCGGGCAGCGAGTAGCCTGCAGGCCTGGCGCAGCTCACACGGCACATGGTGTTTCCAGAAACACCACTGCCGAATTGGGAAAGCAGACAATCGAACATTAAAAAAGAAACCTGGGCTGGAGTGATAGCACAGCGGGAGGGCGTTTGCCTTGCACGCGGCCGACCCAGGCCAACCCAGGGGACATCCCATATGGTCCCCTGAGCACCAACAGGAGTAACTCCTGAGTGCAGAGCCAGGAGTAACCCCTGTGCGTCGCCGCGGTGTGACCCAAAAAAGAAAAAAAAAAAAAAACCTGGGCTGGAGTGATAGCACAGCGGGAGGGCGTTTGCCTTGCACGGGCCGACCCAGGTTCGATCCCTGGCATCCCATAGGGTCCCCCCAGCCAGGAGTAACCCCTGAGCATTGCTGGGTGTGACCCAAAAAGCAAAAAAAAAAAAAAAAAAGAAAGAAAGAAAAAGAAACCCCCGGCAGATGTCCGAACCCTTTGAAATCCCTCTTTGCAGAGCTCTGCTGATTTGCAAGGCAATAAATTGTTTTAATATGCACCATA